AAGAAAAAAAAAAGAAAAGGATGGGAAGGGTATCGTGCGTCGGGCCGGGGGACTAGCTGCATCGTATTTTGTTTCGAGATGTAGTATACCTTGCGCGGATCATCCCTGTTTGCTCTGGAAAGTCCGTGAGGATGAGGAGCAGAACAATCTGGAATGGGGGCAGCTTCCAACTGCATTCTCGCGAAGTCGTATCGATCACGCCGAGCGAGCGATCTCTCGTCGTGCATTTAAAAAAAAAAATCTCGATCTTTATCGACTTTTAATATTTCTCGGGGATTTGTCGGCATCGTCAAGATTGCATAGTTTCGGTGATTCGGAAAAGCTTTAGAAAAGAAGTATTTCCTAATGCGAGTGATTTATCTTGCGATTTAATAAGCGTTCGTTACTTCACTTCGCTCTTACTGAATTAGTCTTTATATTTTACGATAAATGTGTATTAACGCTGGAAAAACGGACCGTCCTATTTTATGATTTTGCTGTTAGTACAAAAGAAATGATCGCACGAGATAAACACGATTTATACTTGTGTATGAATCACGGGCAAGCAACAACGTTTGGCATTAGTTCGTCACTTTGGTAATGCAGATTCTAGTCTGTTCTCTTGCTTAATTCAATCGCTTACATAAGAAAAAACAGTTTTCTTGAAATAGGATATTACGTTATATAAAAAGAATCTTTCAAATTTCTCTTGATAATATTTATTCGAGAATGTTAATAATTACATATCAATCTCGAACGCAAAAAAAAAAAATTATTTTGTCGACCTAAAAAATGTGGTTCCTAAATTTTACTACATGCATGCTCTCTTCCTATTTAAATTGAAGGTTCGAATCTGATCATTCGATATCTCGCCATGAAGAGAGGCCTAAGAACTTTCGTCTAAAGGAAATGTTTTGAATCAATTTTATATTCCTGTTGTTGCTACTAAATCAACAGAGAACGCTATTAATATTTAAAAGACTCATAAACAATTTTCTTTTCGATAACGCAATATATTTTTAATTCGTAAACATAGATTGTGCGAAGTATAATCGAGCAAAATGACTGTCCCACTAGCCTATTCGAAAAACAATCTTCGGAATAAACTGCCATATTTAACGATTACCATCAATTCCCGATTCAATTGCTATGTTGTTATCAGGGAGATAACAATCAGGGCGAAAACAATCCAGACAAAAAGACCAATAATTTTTCAATATGTTCGAAAAAGAAAAAGGATACGTCTCAACGATTTTGATAGATATTATTAGCATCCCGTTTTATGAACAACGAATTTTTTCAGTAACAAACGAATTCACTTCCGCCAAAAACTACGTAATACTTTATACATATATCCCAGGATTATGGCTATTGTTAAATTAAAGATCGATAAGCAGCGTGATAATTTTAAGTTCGCTTTAATATTAGAAATAATCAATGATGGATATATTCCGCACGCGCGAGCAATTTTCTTTTCCCAATTCTATTTACAAGATTCGCTTTATTCGTAATAATGTAACAGCAGTCGAACGTAAATCGTTATCGCACCGTTTCTATATGTGACATCTCTCAAACTATTATTATGTAAGAAGTCGTATAATAAGCAAAAAATATGATAGTCACTGTGAGAATGGCACATGCGTTTTCAACAATAATAATAATAATTTATTATTCTTTCCTTGCGTCGTTGCACATCTGAAATTGAATCTGAAACCTTGAATCGAACCTTTAAGGAGTTTACGTTGCTAACTATTTTTTTAGGCGGAACCAATGCGACGAAATAAATGTAACATCCCCTCGAAATAACATCGATTCATATCTAGCATGCAACGAGCGTCAATTGCACACCAAAGACACGTCTCTCCCCGCGAATCATTGTAACTTTTCCGTTTCGCGTTTCGACGACGGAAGGAGATCATCGCGAAGCGGAGTTGGGCGGAGATTAATATTTCGGATTTTAATATTTAGTATTATAGCAATAAAAACGATCGCGTTCGACCATCGTGCAATAGAGCAATAATATCCGTCGGTCAGACACTTGTTAAAAAAGAAAGATAGATTTTGTTGTGATAAGAATAAGTAGAAAGGTAAATGATTTAGCGATCAGGAAGAACGGAATACAGCACACGCCCAACTCCGCTCCGAGCGGAGGAAAGAGCGTCGTCGGATTCAAGCGGTTCTGTCAAACGCGAGGCTCATTTATTATTAGATCCTAGATTAGAGGCGACTCTTTGATACTTTGATAAATCTGGCTGGTTTCCAAGGCGAGAGAATTTACGAGGGAAAGACTGGCAATCAGCGGGGATGGAAAGACCGCGAGGAACAAAAAAGAAAAGAGAGGAAGAGGCGCTACGCCTGTCGCGGAGCGCGTCAATTTACACACCTTCGTATCAACCGCGTCAAAGGCCGAATAATTATATGAGGCAGCAAAGAAATAACAAAAAGAAAAAAGAATGAGAAACCCAAATGTGCGGGGAAGGGAAGGGAGAGCAAAAAAAAATATAAACAAGCCGAATAAGCCCTCGAGTCCGCCTCGCGGAAATTAATGCCGGTCTCGAGAGAAACAGGGAGAGATTTAATCGAGCGTATTTTTGTGGAAGACGATGTCGCTTGAGGATCCTTAAAAAAAAACGCACCGAACAGCACTCTCACGGCCTGGAGAGAGAGAGAGAGAGAGAGAGAGAGAGAGAGAGAGAATGAAAAGCAGAAAGGGAAAAAAACAACACGATAGAAGGTCGACGGAAGGTGGTGTGCCCCCCCCAATTAAGGATGGCCTATATATCGCACTCGTTTGAAAACTTATCGCAAGAATGCACAAGAAGTAGCGTACACTCGCTGTACTACTGTTTGTTGACTCGAATAAATATGCGGATTAAAGTCGGTTTGGTTTATATGTACACGGTGAGTCCAAGATTCGCGCGAATGGAACGCCGATGATCGTCCGTAAGTGGAAGTCAAGATGGTCTCTCAGAGAGAGAACACGCGCGAGATCGAGCTAAAACGAAGTGGAGGAGAATATCATCTCGGACAAGCACCGGCGTTCCATGCGACGATATTGTTATTATACGAATGTACTTAAGACGGCATGGTATACAAGACTAAAACAAGACCTAAAATAGGGACATAATATTTTATAACTCAACTTTTGTACAGAATAAATACTTGTACTGTGGACCAATATTTCTTTCATTTCATTCACATCAAAACCATCGTTGTTGTGCATAGATTCTAAATCGCGATGAAATCGTCAATGAAGACAACAGTCGTGTCTTAATAAATTTTTTTAGCAACTTTATTATAAAATATTAACACGAATATAGCTAAAAATAAATCATTCTAACAGATTTATAAAAAGAATATATAAATCTGATCTAGCTGATTAAATGTAAATTTAATAAGTTAATCTGAAGTTTATTTATTTGTTTTTTGCTTGCACTAGTGGTATAATTACAATAGCATTCCTCGCTTCAGGTATTCGCCACCAACTACCATTTCTATGTTCAGTACCTACACCAGCAATAAGATTATTTCCATCGGGAGTAAATGCGAGCGCGTTTATGAAACCTGCCAATTTAACTTCAAACAATAGATTTAAAGATTTAAAGTTTTCACCACATTGCCATAATTTGATCGTGCCATTTCGCGATCCTAGAAATCACAATTGATTTTAATTTCATAAAAAATAGAAATGAAGCAAACATATATAAAAATATATGATAACACACCTGATGCTACTAAATCTGTATTTAACAGTGTGGCAATACTTGAAATCCACATTGGTTCATTATTGGTTTCGTCTTTTCCATGCGCCTCCGGCACCGTACACAGCGGTTTCTTCTTCAAACATCCCCAAACGCAGAGCAGTCCGTCGTCTCCACAACTGAAAAAATTTTCTTCATTGATGAGCTTAACCGCATCGATGCTATTGCCAATGCTATGTCCGTTGAATATCAATTGCGACTCTTCGACTATTTTCCATATCCTAATACTTCCGTCATAACCACCACTCGTTATAGCGCGCTCTCGCGAAAGTGCGTCAATAGATGTGATAGCGCTCTGATGACCGAATCTATAAGAAAAAAGTGGCATTGAAGTCAAACACAACTTGGAGATAAAATAGATTTACATAAAACAGAAAATATCATCGGATTCATAAAGTTACTTACAAAGATTCAACATAAGCCATATCATCCAGATTCCAAACTTTCACACTTCTATCTTCAGATGCGGAGTATAACGTGTGTGTATCTTTCCGGAATACCAATCCGGATATGAAATTTCTGTGACCTTGTAGATTTTTTATATGACTAAGAGTATCACCAGAGAATACTTTTATATCTTTACATCCGTCATCTCCTACTACCTACAAAAAACTCTTGTGGTTTTATGCCAATTTTTTTATGTATTGAACAAAAAAAGAATTTCATTTAAATTTACTTAAATTATTTAAATTTACTAACCAAAAATTTGCTATCCGTACTAATCGCCAAACACCGTATAGATTTCATTCCAGGTTTCGTTTTTCCTCTGCATCCTCTAATGGCTTTTAATTTTATTTTTTCCTTTACTGACCCTAATAAATAATTGTCAACTTAAGTCAAGCACATAGATATGCAATGGATCACATATTTTAAAACTTAAGCTATGATTCATCTAAAGTTAAAATTTGCAAACTTACATTTAACTAAACTACCATCCTTAGATCCTGAATACAATATATTGCCATTGCTAGAAAGACAAATGCAAGTAATAGACGATTTGTGTTCTTTGCATTTCAATATTATAAGTTCATTATGACCAACATAATTTATTGCTATAGTTTTCCTCAATCGGCCCTTCTCTTCTAGATATTCTTCGCGTAATCTCCGCGCAACCGCACCTTCTTCAAATTCTGCTCTATCTTTCTCTATAATATTCAAGATAAATTTATTATATAAAATCTCGTTTGTTCTTTCTTTTCAAAATAATGTAAACCAAATGTAAAATATATTTCATTAAATTTCACACCTTTTTCTTCGATTTCTTCAAGATATTTCTTTGCAATTCTCAAACGTTTCTCTTGCGCAGTTTCCTCTTCTTCCTCGGTTTCACTTTGTACTTCATCTCTAAAACACAATCTTTATAATTTTTAAGTTCCTTAAATATCATAACATATTCAGCTACTATTACCTTGTGTTTTTTTCTGCAAATTCTTCATCTGTACTAGCAATACTTTCATTATCATCATCAGGTATAGACTTCTTTGTTTTCTTAGATTGCTTTAATGTTGACTGAACAGATGTCTTACTAACATGGCCATTGAACTAAAATTATAAATAAATAATGAGTTAATAATCAGAGTTAAAAAAAATTGAAAAATAACTTATTGTTATCAATTTGTTACTGAAAAAAGTAACTAATAGTAATGTGTTACTCTTAACTCCATTATCAACCATCAATATATTGAATAAAAGGACAAGAAAAAAATTATAATAGATATATTGTTTTATAGACATATTCAAATTATCTAATATTTTGCTATCGCGTTATTTATAACAATTTGTTAAACAAATAATTGATATAGCATAAAAACAGCAATTTAACAAGAATCTTGAGAAATATAAAATAAATATAAAAATTTAATCTTAACCTTCAAACAGGAGAACAATATTTCTAAGATAAAATATTTATAAAGCTTACTTTACGCTTCTGTCCGCTATTTCCTCGACCACCACTTCTTATAAAAAATGACATCACGACAATGGAAAATAATTGTTATAAACAAATAGCTTCTTAACCACGTGCGTCACAAACAGTTATTTTAGGTTAAGTTATGCTTTAAGTTCATTTCACATAACCATGGATATGATCAAAATTCACCAGTAAGAAACCGAGCGTCAAAGTATTTGATTGACCAATCAGAACAATGAAATTTATCAATTGACCAATCAAAAAATTTTTTAGAGAATTCGTAGTATTATTTATTTATCTTTCGGTATCTACTACCTAAAATTAGAAAATCTATGATCATTATACAATATCATAGTACATATACATATATCCAGAATCACGAATATTAATATGAGTCTGTTCTTTTTAGTTAAACTAGCTGCACTAGTTCAGAGTTTATCTTTCTTCTTCCAGTGTAAGAAAGAAAGATAAATTGTGAACTAGTACAACTAATTCAGCCAAAAAGAACAGGTCTAATGCACAGATCGCAAATTAAAAATGCAATTTTACATATTTTGAGAATTTCTAATGTTATATTTATATAACATATGTAATACAAAAATTCATTATTGCAGATTTTATTAACAATAGAAAGCATTTCTATATAATAATATCATTAAAATTTAAACGGAATATAAATTTACATTTTATAAAATTTTAATAAAAATTTATGAAACGCATACTTTCCTTTCTCTTCTGCTAAATTTTTATTAATTTTAAAGTTAAAATTAGAATAAAAAGATACTATATATAAGATAAATACGTCCTATACATATATCAATAAATATTCTTTCATTACTACAATATTTCAACAATATTTGCGTATTAATGTCAACATAAGAAAATCGCTGGCACAATTAATTAATATTCTCAATACCAATGCCATTTATTTGCAAAAGAATGTTATGGCGAAAACAAATCATCAATTGTCACTTGCATTGTTATGTATTAATTTATTCTTTGGTATGCCAACTAATAGATGATTCTTAAGTGTACACGTTTCTGGGACTAGTTTAGCGAGATAAACTTTATACCCAAATTGTTCAGCGAACAGCTTCCTATCTGTATCTATAATTGTCATACATTTATAGCCTTGCTTAGTCTTGATATTCAGTTCATCATGCGTCTGATCTGCTGCATGACTCAAATATGAGTACTCCTTGTTTTTAAAACGCCCCTTAAATATATCGCTTCGTGGATACGTCAGCTGATGACAATCCTGCAGCGAGCCATAACAGCAAGGACAACTTATGAAAATCGCATTCTTTTGTATGCAACGTTGAATTACTAAGTCGGTTGCTAAACCGCAAGCATGTAAAGACGTGCCAATGTCAAAGTCCCCTTTGAAATAATCTAAGTTACACTGATAGAACTTCACATTTGTCAACTTCAATTTCTGTACTCTCTTTTTGGCTCTGTTTAGAGATTCTTCTTTGTTTTCTAGTAGAATGATTGTGCAATGAGGCAGCAAATACGCTATCAATATTCCCAAATGACCGCTACCAGAACAGAAATCTACAATAGTGTTTCCTGCTTTCGCCAATTTCAAAACGGGCTTGCATAGATTTTGTAATTGTTCTTGCTTCCGTTGCAATCTCGCAGGTGGCAACGAACCGCCTTCTGGCGTGGCGTCGAAAGGAATGTCAGACCAATTGAGATCCATTTTACCAAACGGTTCGATGTCAAGCTGCATTGAGATCTTCATGTCTTCAACTAACTGCAAAGAATGTTCTATATCCTCTTGCCTAGTGTAAATGCGATTTTTTGGCTTGTACCGTTTCGGATCACTCTTGTATAAGCTCTCATTTACTACGGCTGGAAGCGTGTATTGGAGTATGTCTGAGTCACAATTCTTTGATAAGGGTAAACAACTTAAACATTTTATTATGAATTGATCTGCCAACATTCTGTCATACCATTTGGCTGTTAGGGGTACCAGTTTTAATATCATCTGACTCGAAAACATATTCAGCAGGATGTGCATACACACGAAGATGATTATATCAGATAATGTAATACATGCACCTTCTGCATACGTATGTTCTGGCAAACCCGTTTCGTCTCGTCTACTTATATCAAGCGCAGCGAATTTCTTGCACATCGTATATTTGTACAGATTATGCAGTTTAACTGGCTGAGACATGTGGCATTCGAATCTGGCTAAGCTAACTGGCAATTCAGATTTTTCTGGATGGCTTCTAGCTAGAGACTTTAAAGTTAAAATTAAATCGACCTCGCAGAATTTAGTCCATATGCTTGCCTCAGAGCAAGCCATCAAGCAAGAACCCTTAAAACCTAATAACTTATTACCATCGTTCATCAAATATTTTGGATTTGCACTTTTTACAATCTGTCTTAGTACAGTACATAAGCCAGCCATGCAGCTGTCCTCGTTCACAGTAACATTCGGTAATTCGCATGAACTCGCATAATGAGGCATTTCATTTATATTTATAATCTCATAGACAAAACTCGTAAGATCTATCATATATGCTTGCTCAGTCAACTCTTGCTTACTTGGTATCAGCTTGATATTAATTGAGGACTCGCAATACTTTATAGTAAACAGAGTTACTACTGTTTCTATCGGAGCAAGACACATGTCTGCTATGGAATATATTGCTAAATATACATCACTCATTTTCATCTATTTTTTCTAAACAAGCGATAGAAATATAAAATTATAAAATATACAAACTCTTATATATCAGTTCCTAACCCAGAACACTCACACACTAATTCGCAACTGCCTTGCTACTTTTCGAATTATCCTCTGTCTCAATACATTCTCTCTCCAATATACAATGAAACAAGAGATAACTGTCGCAGCAAACATGAAACCTTCAAACTTCCAGAACGCTCTTTCTTCCAACCAAGCCACTTTGTCACAGCTATAACACAAACATACATAAGAATGTAGCACATAGAATCAGATATACTAAAATTCCATTAATAATTTTTACCTTCTTGTTATCGTTTCACCACTCTTGCACTTCAACACTTCCTTATATCTGGCACGGACACAAATTCCGATACTTTCGCTGGCAATTTCAAAAGCGGTGCATGGGTGGCACTCTGATATTACCTCGTATTCCTCGCCAGAGATGCAGGAGGAATTATTCTCGTAATTATCGATGTAAAGCTTACTCGTGCTGTTCGTCCAATGACTCTCAATAATTAACGCTAATACTGTCAATCTGTAAAAAATGTAATTACACACATACACACACACACACAAAAGTTTGATTAGATGTGTACAAAAGCTTGTTTAACAGCTTTTAAGCTTGCATCAATCTCTTAAATTTAATAATTACGTGAGAAACTAACCCTCCTAAAAATGTTATACCTAACAACATTCGTTTTTTCGTACAAGATTCGATCATGTCGGAGATATTTCTACTTTTTCAATTTTTACACTCTGCTCTAATTAGGTTAAGGATCCACTAGGATCCGCAGGGAAAACTACAAAGAGACCTCCCTCGGAGAATCGCAAACTACAGGTGTCCATAATTTTCATATTCATTCGCACAAAATGCAGAGTTGTATCGCGTAATCACGAATCTGCAAAATCATACTTTGAATTGAAGAAATTTTCATTTCAATATGAAAAAAATACATTTCATACATTTTTGAACAGATAATAATTTAGGAAGCAGAAGTTAATATTTCTGCTTGGAAAAAAAAATTATCTTTAAATAAATAAATAATAACTATATAAAATATATACTTGCTCATCTTTAAATAAAAAAAGAAAATAAATAAATTAGAAATTAAAATAAATATTGATAGAAACGGACATAATTTAATCAGCAATTAACTTGTCCAATAAGGATTAATTATTTGTTCCTTAATAGAATTAAATTAAAAATAATAATTTATATAGTAGAAATCAGAACATCAGAATCAAATAAAAAATATGACATTTACAAACATTTAATCTGAATCATTTTATATGTAACAAAGTTGCAAGTATTCTACACAATGCAATAGAATTAACGATGGTGACCTAAAGACGAATTTCTATGTGCAAAAGTAATCGACCACGCGATCATCTAACCTCTACGCCTCGAATGGAAAGAGAGAGAGAGAGAGGGGGGGGAGGGAGAGTAGAAGGAGAGCAGAGTGCGCCAGTAGTATTAACGAATTGCGTGTATCACGCATTTCGCGCGTGTATTTTATTACAAAATGCCCGTAAATATTTTCGCAGGCCGAGAAAGAGAATGTGAGAATCACGCGTGTACTATGCGTGCTTGACTTTGACACATGCGTGATAAGATCGTCGCCGGATGTTGATACGCGTGTTCCCGCGTGGACTTCGACGAAGTCATCGCCACCGATGATTATTGTTTATCCGGCAGCGGAAGATACGGACGGAAAAAGAGAAAAAAACAACAGATAAGGAAGAAAGAATCATCGCAGGTGAACGCGTGTGAAATTGATAAGAAACGAGCGAGGGATTCCCCTTTGGATTCTCCCTGGCCGTTCTGAAATCGCATTTAGCGTCGATTCCGATTGTTCATCCCTCATTTGCTTATTTTACAGAATGATACGATGAATTGTGAAATAGAGCACGTGTGGAAGATGTAACGAATTTTCGTAGATTCTCATCAATACTCCAATTACTCCCGGTTTTCTTTTCTTTTCCTACGCTGTGTTATATCCCAGTGTGTGCGTGTGTATGCGTGTGTGCGCATCTGTGTACTGGACTGTGGCTATTCAGCAGCCGCCGTGATTATTAGTTTTACGACGAACGCGTATACGAGCGGGGGGGTGGTGTGATATGTCGGTCGCGCGCGTCTCTCGTATGCGTATTCACCACCACCCTCAACGCCGGCGATATTCGTACTCGTGAAGGAACTCTGGAGTGGGAACGGGGGGGCGACGGCGACGACGACGGCGACAGTAGTGGGTGAGAGTGGAGAGCGACGGGTGGCGGCCACAGCCGCGACGGCGGTGGCGGCGGTGGTGGTGGTGGCAGCGGCAACGGCGGCGACGGCGGGGGTGGTACGAGGGGGGGAGAGTCTTCCGCCTCCTACGCAAGCCAGACGCCGGTAATGAGTGTTTACGCCACGAGCACGCCGACAGCGAGCATCGCGATATCGTCGGCGATTAATACGACGGTATCGACGACAACGAA